CCATACATTAGTAATGTCTGACTGGGTCTTGTGACACTTTATGTTCAACAAATTGGGCCCCGAGGTCAAAAAGGTTAAGAACCACTGATTTAACTATTTGATTTGAAGTGAAACACTAAAAATATCTGGATTTCTTTTGATTTTTTTTTTTTGTTCACTGTAGCAGCATAAACACCTGCTGGTTTAGTAAAACACATCTGGGTGTGTTTAAATCAGTTTGAACAGCCAACAGTAACATTTAAATTAGAGATCGACCGATACAGGTTTTTGAAGGCCGATACCGATTTTTCAAACGTCAGTCGAACTGATAAGCCGATACGTGCAGCCGATATGTTTTGGCCAAGTAATGAAGCCGATACTACTTTTTCTTCCTCCATTAACATGATGAAAACAAGAATAACAAATGTTACACACGTCTTAATTTAAAGCAAAACAAACAAAAAAAATGTCGCAGCGCTCCCGTCTGGAAAAGAAACTTAAACACAGCTGTTCTCTCTCCCCTCATATTCTGACACAGAGGGTAAAACAGTTAAATTAGACAGTTAAAACACATTTATAGTTCATAACTCACCCTTGTTGTTGTTAGCACTCTGTCTCACAACATTAGCTGCTGCGCTCTCCCCGGGGGAAGGAGTGGACATATGCGCTCGCGTGACCCAAAGAACGGATCGGTCGAACAGTGTATCGGCCGATACAAGGAAAAAACGCAAATATCGGCCAAAATTWTCGGCCGGCCGATGTATCGGTCGACCCCTAATTTAAATCAGACACGTTCATTTACAGGACGCTTCATGTGAAATGAAAGGTTTAGTAAGAAAGAAGGTTTCTGAAAGACGTGACTGAAAAAATTAAATTAAATTGCTGCAGGTTTTACCAACAGTATTCTAACAACATGCTGAATATTCAGGCTTTTTCATTATAAATGCAGAAATAATCCAAGCTTTAGTTTTTATTTGTAACGTTTGAGTCAACACATCTTATTTTATTAAAAACACAACGAACTAAAAGATGGTGATTTCAGGAGTAAAACCAGCTGTTTGGATGATTTATGTGTAAAATAAAGTGTTTCCAGGCTCACCCCCGTCGTCCCGCTCACTGTTCATGCACATGAGGTTTGTGACAGAAGAAAGTGCACCGGGCAGCAGAGCAGGACCAGCCTTCAGCTCTGTGGAGGGAAACATCACAGGGGCTTCAACAGCAGCAACACTTCGTTACACTGAACCTAACAACTGCTCAACTTCTGTAATCATAATACTCTGAAACTCGGATATTTTTGCTTAAAGTTATCATAAAAAAGTGGTCATGCAGATGAGAATCACGGCCCCTCCCCCCACACACCCCTGCAGGTTGGATGATGACTTGTAGGAGGCAAGTCCCCAAACATGTCACCGTCTAAAACAGAGTCAGCTCTGTGTGAAAACTTCAACTACTGTATAGAGAGACGGACGGTTTGGAGGAAGAAAGTTGCCCTACATACAAAACATATTTGCAGAAAGTGGAGGAAACACATCTAACATGAYGCACATCTACAGGAGCACCACCAGGTGAAGTTTATGCTGTTTAGAAATGAACAAGCTAACTTTACAGATTCTACATTTAATATAGAATAATAATAATAATAATCAAAAGGAAAAAAAATTGAATAGGTCCTCTGGACGGGTTCTTCTCTAATGAAACGTTTCGTCTCTCGGTTTCATTAAAGAAGAACCCGTCCAGAGGACCTATTCAATTTTTTTTCCTTTTGATTTTTTACCTGGATTACTGAGATGCATCAGGACAATAATAATAATAGAATCTTCTTTACACCCCACACCCCTTCAGAATCTAAAACAATAAAAACTCCAAACATGATACAGTGCTGGGGGTATACTGGTTTGTACCAAAAACCAGTTTTCATTTTATATGAATTTTCTGAATGCTGACTCAGCGTAGGGCTGTGTGGTATATGCGGCAGATGGTAGAAACGATATGAAGTTGGCCTACGATAGAAGTTTRCCCTCTACCGTCCTATCATCAGTTAYGTCATCGTACCTGGGTCAACAGGGCTGTGAGTGCAGAGACAMCTGAGCATTTAGTAATTTATAGTGTTTTAAAACACGTATAGAGAGAATAAAACCTCAAAATTCCCCCCTGCCGCTGTAGAAAAGTTACGTCGTGTCACGAGATGCGGGATCRTTTCCTTCCTCCCTCGCGCTGCACGTCGCAGAGCGAAGCCGTAGTTTTTTCACACCCAAGTTGTCAGAGAAAAATACTTGTGTTTTTTGTACTGTTACACACAGAGGTGATAAAAAAATGACGCGGACGTTCGTTCAGTCATAAATCCATCTTGCTAATGTAACCTAAAGTCGGCTTCTGCTCTGATGATGCAGATGAGAGCGCAGCAGAGCAGCTGCTGATAAGTTCAGCAGGCAGAAGGTCATTGTATGGCAGGCAGATATTACATTTATTTGGCTTCACCACACTGACATTCCAGTTATCTGAAATTGTTTTATGACAGGACTATGTGCAGCTTCAGCCCCTTAAGGTCCCGTCACACTTTAACATTTTAGCAGAGGTGGGACGTAACTAAGTACAAGTACTTTCTTGCTGTACTTAAGTACATTTTTTCATGTATCTGTACTTTACTAAAGTAGATTTCATCATGGGTACTTTTGACTTTTACTCCACTACGTCCTGATGCATCTCAGTAATCCCGAAGGAAGAACCCGTCCAGAAGACCTATACAATTTTTTTCTTTTTTACTCCACTACATTTTACATTAAGTATCTGTACTTTCTACTCCACTATATTTATTTTATTATTATCATTAATTATTACTACGTTTATTTTATTTTATTTGTGGTTTATTTGATTTTTTTTTGTTAGAAAGTAATCAGTGGTGAGAGGGGGAATTGCTGTAATTGGTCCATTGAACAAAGCAGGAAAGTACCATCACACCCTCCTTCATAAAAAAGCAGAGCACCAGTATGCCCACAATGGTTTCCACCACGGAGGAAGTGTGCCATTCATGGCCTTATTTAACTGGTTCAAAAAAATGACTTGTTGAGATTTGATAGAGGAAGTTAGTGGTGAATTTACATCTTCTGCAGCTGTTGTCACAATGTGATGATGAATCACAGAATCACAAGTCCAAATGTGAACAGTGTCACATAGTGTAAACACAAAACTACTAACATTATCTGCAGCGTTGTTCACTAAAATGGCACCATTGATGTATTAAAATATACTTTCAGTAGACACACTTCATGATATTGTAGACCATTAGGGAATACATTAAGCAAGTACTTTTACTTTTAATACTTTAAGTATTTTTAAAAGTTAGTACTTACTTACTTTTACTGAAGTAAAATGTTAATGTGGTACTTTTACTAGAGTACATTCTTGTCTGTTTATCAGTACTTTTACGTACTTTCTCCACCACTGCATTTTAGGTAACATTGAATTTTTTGTCTAAATGACTAATTTTACTTGAAGTACTGGTTATAACATCCACTTTATTTTGATACTGTTGAAAATTTGAAAAAAGTTTTTGTTTGTTGTTGAAACGGTTTTACAATATATAGAAAACATTCTTCTGTACTTCTGTTATGTTCATTTGCACTACAGCAAAAATACTGGATTTGATTATGATCAGAGTTTTCTGCAAAATAAATGCTCTAAAAATTACATTATCTTTACTTTTTATGATAATTTTCTACTGCAATATATACCATTACCATGAAGGGATCCAATTTATACCGTGATATGAATTTGAGGTCATACCGCCCAGCCCTAACTCAGTGGTTTAAACAGCCTGAACATGTTCAGAAGGTTACATGGTGTCAGCCAGTGAACTGTTTCACAGAGGACACTTTTCCTCGCAGCACCATCAGCGAGCTAATGTGATTGTTGGAGCAGCTTCTCAATAACGGGCAGCAGGTGGTGATTCTGCTGCTTATATTAACTTGTGTTAAAAAAACAAACTTGTTTTAGCCATCGCTGAACGTACTACACACCTCTTCAGTGACGTGCACAGATTACATCGGCGAAGWAAATTTGCCCGATGTATGGAGACGTTAATGTGCTTTTATTGTGAAAAGCTCTGGGGAAGTGGTTTTGCATCAGGGTTTAGTTGGCTGGTGCACCAGGCTTAGTCGTCCCATTAAGCTTTATTAAATAACAAATCGATAAACCTGATAATGATCTTTGATCAACCCTCCTCCTACAAAATGTGTGACTACTGTCTACGAGCAGGCAGAGAAGGAACCAGACAGAGGAGGGAAACAGCAACACAGAGCGAGGTACAGTAAAAGAAAAAAGCCAGGCAATAGTTTCTGTAACTACGTTTACATGGACATCAGTAATCAGATTAAACGGCCATTCTGAATAAAAATGTGTCATGTAAACACCCCATTCAGATTATTCTGACCCGATTCAGCTCGATCTGAATGAATTTGTAATCTGAATGAGAGAGGTGGTTTATGCAGATTTATAATCCGAACGACGTGCATGTAAACACTTAATSTGATCATCTTATTCTGATTGTGGAAAACTGACCTGACTGCACATATCTGCTGACTTTCATCCACCGGTTTCTGCTCTTTTGTGGAGGGAGGAGCTGCAGCGCTGTAGTTTCCAGCAGACAGAACTTTTCCTCTCGTTTTCTCATTTAATAAAGAAGGAAGACACACAGACCGCACCGCTTCGCAAAAAAAGTGTGTGCGTCACCTGCAGCTGAACCAGGGAGTGCAGTAACGTCTCCACCATTATTAAAACTTATCGCAGGTCCATTCTGAGCTCAGATGATGTTTATGTACAGGAAGAAAGTAGAACTTTTTTCTGTTTTTTTTTTGTGTGAAAGTTAGCAGCTGCACATATCAGTGCTTTTATTCAGAATAAAAGCCTGGTGCATGTAAACACTCGTCATGATCAGATTGTAGGGATGGGTACCTTTGACATTTTAATCAATTCTGTACCAATATCCGGTATATGGGAATCAGTACCGGTGCTTAACGGTACAAATTTTCGGTACTTTGTGTTTGTTTTCAATAATAAACTTATTTTTAAACATATTTCTCAATATATATAATCAACAAATATCAAGACAATATCCAACTCTTTGTTTTGTAACATCAGTTGTTTAATTTCTTTAAAGGGAAAACTCTTGACAACAGCTAACTAGGAATGTGCGATATGGCAAAAAATTCATATCACGATGTACATTATGATGAGTGGCGGTAACGATATATATCATGATATAAAACTTATAATATAAAATAAAGAAATCACACATTAGGAAAATAAGTTTAAATCAAATAAGTAAAAGAGGATGGAGTTAAAATAAATAAAAGTTATTCAAGCTACGTTTTGAACATCCAAAACGCGTCTGATGCTTTAAAGTTAGCTGCTTGTGCTCTTTAGGTCAGACGAGTTCGGACTGTCGGGAAGCTCCGCTGTTGTTTTCCTCTGCWGGTCTCTGTTTAATGGTGGATGAAATAAAGAAAGTGGTGGTACTTTATTTACTTTGAGCAAGCGAACGTCGTGTTCACAAGATAATTAATCCACCAGATAATTCAGAGGCGATCTGTTCGGTGAGTTTTACTCCAGGAGCTGCGAGGCTTTCAAGCTWCGTTCAGACTGAGGTCTGTTTACCAGCGGCTGGTGATGTCATAACGATCTTGCGTGATGCTGCGTTCAGGACAAGCATAGAAAACTCACCACTCTTAGCCAAAACGGTCACAATGTGTTTAGGTACCTAAAAATGGTACCGTTTGATGTTACGTGAATAGGTTCTTGGTAGTACCGACAGAATTCGGTCTGTGCATAAAAAAGTATGGAATTCGGTACCCATCCCTATTAGATTATGTCCATGTAAACGATACTTTCCGATTATTTAATCCAAATACATTTCAATCTGACCAAAGAATTTTGTGCATGTAAACATAGCTTGTGATGAAGAATGAGAGTAAATTCAGGTAACTGTGGTTTGCTAATCATTAAGCAGCATTTGGACATTTTATTATCAGCTGAGCTGTGATGAAAAGAAAAATACTGATACCTGTGTAATTATTGAAAATACCRTGATATAAAACTTGGGTCATACCACCCAGCACTATCATGATTGAATCTTGATTTACCTCATCTATTACAGCTGCTAACAGTTTTAATAAAGCCTGTGTACTGTAGGAGAGCAGTCTGTATGAGCTGCAGCTGTCTTCATATTAAATCAAATGTTATGGAGCTATAATCTGACTCACAAATCTCTGTAATTATGTTTCTGTTCAGATTGTGTTTATAATTCCTGTCTAATCCTCAGAATTTTTTAAAAGATTTCTAGTGAAATTATTGTGAACAGGCTACTTTTAGTTTTATCCAAAATTAGAAAACATTGATGAAACACCAAGAACCAACTTCAGATTATCCAGAGGAGTCTTACAGAAAAGATTTTCTTTTAAACAGAAACTTTAAACTGAACTTTATGTTTTTCTAAATATAAAACTGGTTCTGTTCTTACTTTTTAACTGTAAAGGGATCCATAATTAGTTGTAATATTAGACTTTTTGATAAACATTTATTTTAACTATRAAATAAAGACTGTAAAAATACTGTAGGATGTTTAGTTTTTATAAATTTTAAAAATATGTTTTAGCACGGACTGAATCATTTTATTTACATGCAAAGCATTCTGGGTAAATGATGATGTGGATAGGTCATCGGTGCGAGGC